TGCGGAGTTCCGCCCTGGCAGACTCCTGGCCAACACGAACAGACGGGGAGAAGATCACTCCCCGTCAAGTCGGCGAGACAGGTGCAGGCGATGGTGGTGGCGATGGAGCGCTCGCATTCACCTCGTTGTCCTTAGGTCTTCAAATTTCCAAATAATGCACCTATGGCTTCCTGCTCGCCTGTCATTGAAGAAGAAAACAATGTCAGTAAAGCCTATGTGGCAAATAAAAAAAAGGGAGAGTTTCACGACACAACAGCACACAGTTTTCCTCCAGGGAAATATTAACAGATCAATATTCTGTCTGAACTAAACATTGGAACTAACAATTTAGTGACTTGACACACCAGGTTAGCAAGCTTTTTTTCAAAATGTCACATGTATGCAATTTATGAACATCGAACATTTCTTTCAGGAAATATTAACAGGTCATGATTCCATACGGACTTTTCTTTCCGGAAATATTAACAGATCATGATTCCATATGGACTTTCCTTTCGAACAAAATATAAGAAAAAGTTTGACGAGAAATAAGAAATAAGTGTGTAAGCACAAATACCTTGGGCGGTCATCTAACGATTTGATCTGCTTCCTTTAACTTTGGACATTTGTATATCTGAACCTTCTTTATGTATGCAACTGCCTCTGCTCCACCAAATGAAACTAGGTTTGGACATTCCCAAATCCTAAGTTCCTCAAGTGATGCAAGATTACCTCTCCAAATGTCACCTGGAATGGATGTTATACCCTGGCACCCACCAATGCTCAGAGAGATGAGGGATGTGAGGTTCTGTAGGCAGCTGGGAACATATGGAGAGATATCCCCGCAGTTCCTTAAGCTTAGCCTTTGGAGATATGATGGCAATACCAGCCCCCTTTGCCAGTTAAGACTTGGGCAATTAATAACCACCAGATGTTTCAGATGAGGAAAACCCACAAACCTTTAAACTGGCAGGGACAGTAACCCAGGACAACATTTGACGTCAATTTCCTCAATAGCAGGTAGGTATTCTTGTGTTAGGAGGTCATCAAGGCTTGACAATTTACCATATAACTCAACGTCTAGGGCTGCAAGGGACGAGAATGGTCTAATGCAACCAGTGCTCGTAGAAATGGAATTGCAGCGAATTGTCAATCTCTGTAGAGCTGGAAGACTCCACGTTTGTAGTTGGATGGACATGGCAGAGTCACATCGGAAATCAAAGGAGGTGAGGGAGAAGCAATCGATATTGCAAAAGAGACTGGAATCATGCAAAAAGAGCTTTTTGAGGGACGGCGAAACCAAACTTTGGAGGCGGATGTTTGGACAATTGGCTATAAACAGTTCTTCAAGGAAATGAAAGTTCCCAAACACTTCAGTTGGTATTGATTCTAACATCTTGCAACCGTAAATTCTTATTTCCTTGATGGCTGGTACATAATCTGGATGCAGAAAATCTTCCAGGCTTGATAAATTTTCGCAACTAGCAATGCTTAGGTCTGCCAGGGACAAGAAAGTACCAATTGCATGTATTTCATTTAGGTTTATGTTCTGTGAGATCATCGGAAATGATATGCTCTTCATCCCAACAAAACCTACAAAATGAAGTGATGTTAAGCTTGGCAAGTTTTGTGGTTGAAACCAGCTTGGGAGCGAGACACCGACATAATTCTGGACAAAGAGACGCTTGAGGCTGATAGGAGGTTGCAGACCTTCAAGCACTTCTATATCACTGTTGTGCATATAAAACTCAGCAGGGCATAAAGCAACTCGCATAATCAATACCAACCTATCAAGACATTTCTTATTCTTCAGTTCAGCTTCTGCTGCATGATCCTTACTTAGGATGCCAACATTATCTATCAACAAGTATTCACGAATTTGATTCAGATTCTTTATTGACCTAATTCCTCGTCCCTCTTGATTGGCTGAATTAATACTTAGTCCGTTTAATTCAAATTTCTGTAAACTGGTCAACTTATCAAAGTCAGCGGGTAAGCTTTGTAGGTTGCATTTCTTGGCATATAAAATCTGCATATTATATAGCCAACAGAAAGTTGAAGGAATCCTCTTCAAAGTACAAGTTCTGGAGATTTCAAGGTACCGAAGATGCTTCCAATTACCAATACTATCTGGTACTTCATTTGTGAAGGCACAAGACATCACACGCGTACGTGTAAGTTTAGTACACCAGTGGTCCATTACAAAGCATGTTCTTTTCCCCAAATTAATCTTGCAAATTAGGGTGCGCAGCTTCGTGTACTTGCATAGTCTCAACAAGTTGGAATCATCAAATTCACTGCTAGGGAGTATGCATAGATGGCGAACATTCTGGGGAACTTTATCAAAATCACTCTTATTTCGTAAGATGAAGCAGTCGTGCTCTGAAACTTTTTGTGCCATGTCATGCAGCAAGTCATGGATTACATACCGACCATTAAACTTTTGAAAGAAAGACCGCGCCACAAGGTCTTCAAAATACTGACAGCAAATATCTTGAATGGGAACACCAGCTTGAGGTTCCACAAAGCCTTCTGCTACCCAAATTTCAGCTAAGCATGCCTTCTCAAATTTGTAATCTTTGGGATACATGGCGCAGAATGCAAAGCATTGTTTCAAGCAGAATGGTAAATACATGTAGCTCAACCGAAGGGCAGGCAAAATATCGGTTTCCTTTTGTTTCAACTCCCATAGTTCACTCTCAACTATAGAATTCCAATGAGATGCTTGAAGGTCCATCCTCAACATTCGTCCTAGAGTTTTGGCTGCCAAAGGAGAACCCTTCAATTTAGGAAGAATTCTTTGGCCAATACGCTCCAGCTCGGGATCATTGTCAGAACTCTCAGATCCAAAAGCGCACAATTTGAAGAAATTCCAAAATACGCCATCCTTCAGACCTTCAACTATAACATGCTCCATTGTGCGCACCCCCTCGGTAACATTTGGACATCTAGTGGTGACCAACATCATACTTCCCTCCAGGACACTTCTAAAAGGTGCACAAAACCTCTTCCAACACTGCCCATTTTCCTTCAAGGAGTCATCCCACATGTCATCAAGAACTATCAATAGCCTTTTATTGTTCACATGGTTAGAGAGAGCATGTTGAAGAGAATTCAAATTATCATTTGCCCCCTCCTTTTTAGTGCATGATTGTATAACCTCTTTAGTTAGTCTCTTCACATCAAAGTCATCCGAGACACAAATACAAATTATCATATCAAAGTGGGACCTCACTCGTGGATGGCTGCAGACATGTTGTGCCAAAGTGGTCTTTCCGACACCACCAATTCCAGCTATCACCAAAACAGGAAGACTCAATATTCTTGATTTTGTTGATGCATCAATTGAACTAGTTTTGGGCTTGTAGGTACACCGAGTAATCCCAATACCTGCTTCAGCTCCTTGGCACGACTAAATATTTTTGTTTCATTTCGTAAAGATGTGGTCTCTGGCCTGACTAATTTGTCAAAGCGTTGTGCAATTCCATGAAGCCCCAACTTATCCAGCATACTTGAAAGATGGTCCAACCTCGATTGGACATCATTAACTTTGTCAAAGCTGCCTTTGACGATGGTATGAAAGAAGTCAGTGAAAGGAGATTGGCTTGCATTGCCCTCCACTTGCACCTTCTTCTCGTACCATGTGAATTCATCAAGAAGGTCTTCGGCCTCATACACAGCATCCTTAAGACATGGAAGGAGCTTGGCCACACATTGTTCATGGCTTCTCCACTCTGCTTTGTTAATGAGGTCGTACATTGCAGGAAGAGTATCCCTCATTCGTTGTAGGCCACTCTCTAGTTGCAAGACTTGATCCTGAAGATTTTGTTTCTGTGAGCCACTCCATCGGGAGTGCAGAGATGAGATGGCAGATTTGGCCCACTGAAACAAAGTGACACATTCATTGATGGCACCAACGATCCCAATGGCAGATAGGCTCATTGTGGTTGGCAGGTCCTGCAAGCAATCAGTGGACACAATTAACATCTTGGTAGTATATAACAAGCCGACTACCGTTTTAGTTATTTTCTCCACATATGTTTCCACTGAAAATTCCCATGAAGTTAGTTTCCGAGGATACGTTAGAGAAATGTCATGAAGTGAAAACAACGTTTTATAGTTCCAGTGTGTCTTTGCAATTGGTAACGTTAAGAAAGATATTGTACTTCCACTAGAAATCACCTAAGTGAAATATACACAAACATATACTCCCTCCGTCCCAAAATTCTTGTCTTAGATTTGTGTAGATACGGACTTGATACATCCGTATCTAGACAAATCTAAGACAATAATTTTGGGACGGAGGGAGTATAAATTAAAATGAGATTATTCCATAGTTTTAGCCAGCTATAGCCCTGCTATAGTCCGCTATAGCCTTTTCAGCGCCGCTAAATAGTCTCATATACAAATAGCCCGCTATAGCTGATTTGAAGGCCGCCGCTATTTAGCAGCGCCCGCTATTCGAAACATTGAAATAATAGAGCCTGGGCAGGACAGTGCACAACAGAAAGAGAGAGAGAGAGAGAGAGATATCCCTCATTTTGTGAATATGGCAGAAGACTCTAGAAGCAGTACATGAAAATACCTCAAATATTGAAATAATAGCAAATTATCTTCTGCTTGCTATAGCTAGTGCTCTCTTCATCAGGTTGCTGAAATTTCCCTCGATTTTTCTTCTTTGATAAATTGGTTGCTAGAAGCTAAAATAGATAGGTTGATTCTATTTTTAACAACATATAGAGGAAAAAAGATCAGAAGAAGAAATGAGGCGGTACTTAGAAGAAAGGATCGGCGTTGATTGCCGTCGACGAGAGGCTCGCTGTCAAACGCGCACCAACAGCAGCAGGAGGAGGGTGGGAGTGCTCTTGGATGGGTGTGAAATGTGCGGGAGAGGAATCCAATGACAATCTCTTGGAAGGTGTCAACCCTCACATACATACATACAGCTTGTGGGCGGAAGTAGCAACCATGCTTTAATTTGTCACGGCCGGCCTCACACAGCTTTCTTTGTCCGCCTGCGGCAACACCGAGGAGAGCTGCTCCATGTCGCGCATCTTATACATATATGGTTATATGTATTCCAAGTCAGACAAGTTCGTGAAAGTGACTCGAATGCGGAGCCAGCCGAATAACGATATCTTCAATGTCACAAATATATTGCGTACGTGCGATGAAAACAATAACGAGAATAATATATAGCATGGTATGATCTAGATAAAAGAAAAATAATTGTTAACCTTGCAATGCAAACCAGTTATTTTCCCTCTCAACAGCAAATCACAATTCCTTAAGAACATGTGCAGCTTTGCATAGCGTCCAGCTGCCAGTCCTAAATTGGCCACTCCTCATCGTCATGAAATAATCCGTTTTGTTCTATCCTGAAGAACATGTGCAGCTTTCCATAGCCTCCAGTCACTATAGCAATTCATCGTCGTGGCGACCATACAAGTAACATACCCTTCCCATGTTGCAGCTCGAGATGCAGAAAAGTTAAATAATTGCAAACCAAACAGTCCTCTTTAGTTACTGAAACCTAACAAGTGCAGTGAGAGTGATGGTCTGCTGGTAAAAGAGGCAGAGGATGCTACTCTACTCCAATACAATAGCAACAGAAATGGGAAAAACACGAAGCTTGATTCCTTTGAATGATCTAGGGGGTCAAATTGTTGCTTACAAGGGAATCAATTTGTCTAGTAGAAACTCTGTATGTAGTACATTGCCAGACAAATTGGTGGCGTCTGTTTCGCCTTGTAAAAAATTCTTCGAGCAAAGAATTTGCAGTGGCAGGGAGACAAAGCACGCCACCAACACAAACAGACAAGGATGATGAATCATCATTTGAGTTGCATCCATCACTTCCGGTACCAAATGCCACCGATTTGCCCGGTACTGTAATATACCCTCTCAAAACACTACCCCTCAGACCCTCCAAAAAAAAGATCTAGCTTGATCATCAACAGGCAGGCCGATGCAGAGTTGGTTTATGAAGCATGCTATAACTTGGCTGCAGTTTGAAACAATCACAAGACAAAACAAACACCAAATTAATACTATTCTGAACCCTGCAAACTATATTGTTTTCATACTTCTGAAACCCCACTATCTTAAAAAAATGTCACCCAAGCATCAGCAGCAATATCATCCGCAGCACCTAGGCAGGGGATGGTGTCGATGCCAGGGAGCGTGCGCTGCTCACTGGTGACCCGGTTGACGATGTGCAGCCGGGCCTCGGCGGCGGCAGTAACGAACCAGCTGCCAGAGGAGGAGGAGCCCAGGACGACGTGGTCGGCCCCCGGGGCGCACACGGAGAGGGAGAAGAACGTGAAAGTCAATTCAACATGCTGACTACAGCTTTGCAGTCCGGACCTGCTGCAGATAAATTCTTAATATGGCTGTGGAATTGGACATTCAGAACCTGCATATTGAGACAAAGATCTTTTCTTAGAATATTGATTTTGCCTCTCTTTTATTATCTAGAGCACCACGGACGTCGGAGTAGTACACTTTTTTTTTTGCGAAACGCCGATTAAGTTTTTTGTTGCTATTTTCATCATTTTACCGCTATTCCAACATTCAGAGTCTGAACCCTGCTCGCTTCTCTGCTCTTGCGCCAAACTCTTGCGTACAAGTACAAAAATAGCATGTCTTGGAGATGCACACTGAATCTGACAGACAGACTCTTGCGCCCAAAATTATGAGGATCGATGGAGCGCCAAAAATGATTGCTTCGCTGAGCTGTACTGCCAGCGGCCTTCTCACTCTTCGTAATTGGTTCACACTGATCCTAATTGGCCTCATCTGGCTCAAACTGCAGCAGCTTTCATTCTAGCAGCCCTAAAGATTAAACCACATTCAACAGTGTTCCAGTTTGAAAACAATCACAGAAGCAAAACACACAAGAGGCTGCTAGTCTGAACCCTGAAAACCAGTAAGTTGTTTTCCTTACTTCTGAACCCCAAGCACTGCCTTTAAAAAAAATGCAGTAATCAGGATTGCAGATTCAGGATCTGCTGCGCACTGCAATAAATACATTTTAAACAATTAATCCTAAAAGTCCTCATCAGAACTAAAATTGACATTTAGTTTAACTTGCTTTTTGAATTTTTGTAGTTTAACTTTGTGGCATTCGAAAATACTAACCCATCAAAGGTGTAGAAACCCGCAACCAACTTCAGCTAGTACTTTACTTCTGAATGCAAAACCAGATCTGCCTTTTCATTGTTCAAACTAGTTAAGATGTACCAAAACACACAAATGCATATATACACAAAATGTCTTAGAGACGCACATCAATTTTGTCACATTTCATAACTTACAACAAGTTTTTGCTGGAGCAAACTGGGAACTGACCATTATCAACACAAATATTGGAAATAATTGATGGAACAAAACTATATAAAAAAGGGAGTTGGGCCATAGTGAGGTTGATAGAGACGGTGAGACGAAGGGATGCAGTAAACACCACATTTCTTTTCTTTCCTTGTCGTCGACAAGTCTCATCCTCCAGTATTCCAACTTCCAAATAATGTAGCTATGGGTTCCTGCGAACAAAACATGGTCAGTAGAGCAAATTTGGTAGGGAGAGGGAGACAAGTGTTTCAACTTAACACACAACACGGAAGCACTCCTACATCGATAGGTTAGCAAATTTTCAAGATTCCATCAGTAATAGACAGCACAGTTTCCTTTGGTGAAATAAAAACAGATCAAGATATACAATACATGTAGCTAGGTGTCCTCAACAAGTAACTTTAAGTTGGGAACATGTAAGAATTTAAGTTGGATTCTTACTGCATAATACATGAGTTATTTCCAGAATATAAGGAATTTCAAATAGCATATAAGTAAAAGTTGGACAAGAAACAAGTGTTAGCACAAATACCTTAGGCAGCAGTATCATCTATTGATCTGCTCTGCTTCCTCTAAGTTTGGACATCTGAGTATCATCACCTTTTTTATTTGTGCAACTGCGTTTGCTCCACCAATTGAAACTAGGTTTGGACAATCCTGAATCACCAAGTTCTCAAGAGAAGCGAGATAACTGTGCCAAATGTTGCCTGGAATGGATGCTATACCATTGCATCCACCAATTTCAAGTGAGACAAGGGATGTGAGGCTCTGTAGGCAGCTCGGAACATATGGAGAGATATTCCCACACCACTGTAAGCTGAGCCTTTGGAGAGATGATGGCAACACCAAGCCTCTTTGCCAGTTGAGACTTGGGCAGTTATCAACCACCAGATGTTTCAGATTAGGCGAACTCCCAAACCTTTCAAATGGCAGGGACAGTAACTCGAGACAATCTGTGACGTGAATTTCCTCAATAGCAAGTAGACATTCTTGTGTTAAGAGATCATCAAGGGTTAACAATTTATAACAATATTTAACTGTTAGGACAGTAAGGGATGAGAATGTTGTAATGCTGCCTCCAATAGATGTAAGAGATTGACAAATGATGGTTAACTCCCGTAGAGATGGAAGACTCCACGTTTGTAGTTGGATGGTCGTGACACGCCCACTTGCTAAATAAAAGTAGGTGAGGGAGCAGCAATCAATATTGCAAAAGAGACCAGCACCACGCAGGATGAGCTTCTTAAGGGACGACGATACCAGTCTTTGGGAGCGGATGTTTGGACAAGAGCCGATGTCCAGCTCTTCAAGGAAATGCAAATCCCCAAACTTTTCAGTTGGTATTGTTGCCAACATAGTGCAATATTCAATTCTGATTTTCTTGATGGCTGGTACACACTCTGGATGCAGAAATTGTTCCAGGCTTGATATATTTTGGTTCCTCTCAATGGTTAGGTCTGTCACTGACAGTGATGGGAAGGTACCAATTGCGTGTATATCATTTAAGTTTATCCTCCGTGAATCAAGAGTAAATCCATGTAGTTCGAATTTTTGTAAACCGGTCAACTTACCAAAGTCATTGGACAAGTTTTCTAGCATGCATTTCTTGGCTTTTAAAATCTGCAGATTATATAGCCAACAGAAAGATGAAGGAATCCTCTTTGAAGGACAAGCTCTGGAGATTTCAAGGTACCGAAGATGCTTCCAGTTGCCAATATTATCTGGTAACTTATTTGTGAAGGCACAAGAAATAACACGCATACGCAAAAGATTAGTACACCAATGAGCCATTGCAAAACATGTCTTTTGCCCTAAATTCTTCTTGCAAATTAGGGTACGCAGCTTCGTGTACTTGCATAGTGTCAACAAGTTGGAATCATCAAAGTCATGGCTAGGGAGTACGTAAAGATGACGAACATTCTGGGGAACCTTATCAAAGTCACTCTTATTTCTTAAGATGAAGCAGTCGTGCTCAGAAACCTTTTGAGCCATGTCATGCAGCAAGTCATGGATTACATATCCACCACCAACTTTTTGAAAGAAGGACCGTGCTACAAGGTCTTCAAAATAGCGATGGCCAATAACTTTAATTGGAACACCACCTTGCGGTTCCACAAAGCCTTCTGCTACCCAAATTTCAGCCAAGCGTTCCTTCTGGAATTTGTAATCTTTTGGGTACACCGCACAAAATGCGAAACACTGCTTCAAATAGAATGGTAAATACATGTAGCTCAACCGAAGCGCAGGCAAAATATCTGTCTCCTCTTGTCTCAACTCCCACAGTTGACTCTCAAGTATAAAATTCCAATGTGATGCTTGAAGGTCCATGCTTAACATACGTCCCAACGTTTTGGCAGCCAAAGGAGAACCCTTCAGTTTACGAAGTATTCCTCTACCAATGCGCTCTAACTCGGCATCATTGTTAGACTCCTCAGATCCAAACGCACACAATTTGAAGAAATTCCAAAAGACGTCATCCTTTAGACCTTCTAAGTTAACCGGATCCATTGTGCGCACCCCCTCTATAACTTTTGGACATCTAGTGGTGACCAACATCATACTTCCCTCTTGGACATTTCTAAAAGGTGCACAAAACCTCTTCCAACACTGTCCATTTTCCTTCAAGGCTTCATCCCACATGTCATCTAGGACTATCAATAACCTTTTGTTTTCCACTTTGTTTGAAAGAGCATGCTGAAGAGAATCCAGATTATCGTTTGTTCCCTCATTTCTAGTACAGGATTGTATGGCCTCTTTAGTTAGCCTCTTCACATCAAAGTCATCTGAGACACAAACCCAAATTATCAGGTCAAAGTGGGACCTCACTCGTTGATGGTTGCAGATAAGCTGGGCCAAAGTAGTCTTTCCAACACCACCAATTCCAGCTATTGGCAAAACAGGAAGACAGAATATTCTTGATTTGTTACCAACATGGTTGCTTGTTGATACATTGATTGATCTAGTTGCTCTCTTGCGTTTTGAATTCTCAGGTACATTGAGAAATCTCAATAATTGCTCCAGCTCCTTATCACGACCAAATATTTTTGTTTCACTTGGGAAAGAGGTGGTCTCCGGCCTGACAAATTTTTCAAATCGCTGTGTAACTCCATGAAGCCCGATATCCTTTAGCTGACTCGAAAGACGATCCAATCTCAATTGGGCATCATTCAGCTTATTGAAGCTACCTTGGATTACACTATCAAAGAATTCAATGAAAGGAGACTCGCCTGCATCGCCCTCCACTTGCACCTTCTTCTCATACCAACTAAACTCATCAATAAGGTCCTCGGCGTCAGACACTGAATCCTTGAGTTTCGGAAGGAGACTTGCCACAACGTCATCATGGCTCCTCCACTCTGCTTTATTAATGAGGTCATGCATTATGGGAAGAGTATCCCTGAGACCTTGTAGGCCACTCTCCAACTGTGATACACGACCTTGGAGATCTTGCTGCTGTGAGCCACTCCATCGGGAGTGCAGAGATGAAATGGCGGATTTGGCCCACTGAAACAAAGTGATACACTCATTGATGGCACCGATGACCCCAATGGAAGATAAGCTCATGTTGGCTAGAATCTGGACATCTATTTTTCAAGCTACGAGCAAACAATGGATGTAATTAGCATTACAGAAACACAGGCGCACAACTCGCATTATGGAAGTAAATTTTGCAGTCATACAATATAAAACAAGCCAACAATTCTAGCAATCATTTCCCTCCGATATGTTTCCAACAAAGTTTTCATGAAATTAGGCAAGGAAACTTTGTCATGAAATTAGTCTCAACTGATACATCAGAAAAAAAACAAGCTAGTGAAACATCGCGAATGATCTTGCAGTGACAATAAAGTTATTAAGTTTCAGTATGTCTTTGCAATTATTAACAAACATACTGTTCTTTGACTAGAAATCCTGTATGTATTTGCATACATAATGAAATGTATGTTGTGACGTGAGATATACACTGCATATTGAAATGAAAATGTATTATATTCACATACGGAGCCGAGAGAAAGAAAAGCCTGGGGGAGGACCGCGCACAACAGAACAGAATATGATGGAGTCGAAACATGAAAGAGAAGACAAAATTATCTACATGTTTTATGAACTAGGAGCATAATTGGTTTGATGCCAAAAATTGGCATGCCAATGTTCGGCATGGTGCCAAATATTGGCTACTCATTGATTGGGTATCAAGTTGTCTTGCCTATCTCACATAAAGTTGCCAACATTTGACAAGTCTTGGTATTGCCAATATTTGGCAATGCTAACATTTGGCTAGCCAAATATTGGTAGCAAACCAATCATGCTCTAGAAGCAGTACACATGTTGGGGATATTCTCCATGGGTTGACCCGGTTAGGAGGAATGACCCAACATAGAGCCTAACGGCTCATGGGTCACTTCGACCCACCGGATCAACACAGGCGACGGAAGGGCCTAGAAGCCTAGGGTGTAACTCGGCGGGAGGCCGGCTCATGGAGGAGTTTGATTGGCCAGCTCACGAAGGCCCAAATATGAAGATTCTCCTTACTTGGAGGCAAGACAAGTAGGGAAAAAGTAGGACACGGGTTGTATTACGACCCGTGATCTATTGTAAATTTAGGGAACTCGATCTATTATATAAAGGGGAGCCCCTAGGACGAAAAGAGTAAGTTGCAATCTCTCGAAAGCTAGGTTAGCGAATCCGCATCCTTGTAATCGAGATCTCCTTGTAATCGAGACCAAATTATCTACATGATTTATGAATTTATTTATGAACTAGAAGCAGTACACGAGAAGACCAAATTATCTTCTCTGCCTCCTCCACACCTTCACAACACAGCCGTTTGCTTGCTGAAATTTCCCTTGAGTTCTCTTCTTTGAAAAAACAGGTTGTTCAGAGCTAAAATAGGTTGGTGGATACTATTTTTAACAACACAAAGGAGAATCAAAGAGGAAGCTCACCTGTACCGGCGCTTCTTGCCGTCGACGAGCAGCGAGAAGTGCGCAGCCCCAACAGGAGGAGGAGGAGGAGAAAAATACAGAGAGAAGGAAGCCTAACAACAATCCTTGGGAAGTGTCAACCATCACACACAGCTTGTGGGCGTGAGGAGCCTAAAAGATCTCCTAGGGAGTGCCAACCCTCACACACATGCCGGGCGGAAGCACCAAAGCATGATCGTTTTGTTGGCTTGTCCTTCCTTGGCGCAGGTGAGGTGCTATGATATCATCATATCTTTATCTTTTTCATCCTAGCTGCTCCTTGTTGCATATATAATCTTAAATTATATTTCTTTATTTATTATTTCCAAGCTGGACATGGTCCCAAAAACAAATGCATCAATATGGAGCAAGCCGAATGCCGGCATCCTCGATCACGAGTGTATATTGCACTTGTGGAAACAAAACAAAATACTCCTTCCGGTTCTGGGAATTATAGCGAACATGTTGAAGCATGCATGTGGATTATGGAGTCCTAGAGTGATCATATCATTGTGACGGCAACAACAGAAGCAATGAACAGTTCCATAAATTCATCCGTTGCAGCTCACACGATGCTAAACTGTCATCCTCCCTTACTGCAACTTCAGTAGTGTATGTAGTATCCGAGAGAAGTGCAGCAAGTGTGATGCTCTGCTAGCAACAGGAATGGGCATCAACACCTCAAATCTGCTTGCTTGTCCATTGTTCAGACTAGCCACAACATGTCTTTGAGATGCTCAAGCAAAAACTCTTAACTGACTTGCCTGTTTAGCGTTCTAATTGTTGTGCAGACAAAACCTAATTCACCTCGATCATCTGGCTCTCAAACCAAATGTACAACAGCTCAAAGTGCAACAGCTTTCTTTCTACCAGCAGCCATCTGACCTAAAAGTTAAGCCCACTCAACTTCAGATTGAAATGATCAGTGGAGGCATAAAATTATTATCCCTGCGAAACTGCTTACAACAAACTTTAGTCTGGTATTTCTCTACTTCCAAAACTTGAAACCGCAAGGGCCATTCGTTCACTTAAAAAAATCACAAAAGAGTAGTCTGAATCCTGCAAAACAAAATTGTTTTCCTTACTTTTGAAACCCCAAACACTGTCTTAAACAACTCCAAGCACCAGCAGCTCCGCATCACATGCATATACTGTATTAGTGAGCTGCTTCAGCAATTTGTCACTGAACCAGAGCATGCTCTGCTGGTAAGAGAAAGCCGTGAAATGGGTGAACAAGAGAATTTGATTCCTTTCAACAATCAGTGGCATCAAATGCTTGCTTAACAAGGCAAAACCGAACGCCACCAATTTGAGAGCCAGAAGCCGGATTACTGCACTTTTTTTTACTGAAGGGGCAAAACATTAATTAAGGCGCCACCTTTGTTTGGTGCC